CCCGCACCCGTGGGTACTTACAGATAAAATCCGCTACGGATAATAAATGGATAGGCTAATTGAGTACCCGCGGATAATGGGGACGGACAATTTTTTACCTGTTTATAAATGGGACGAGAGCGGGTATGATGATATTCATACACGCGGATACCCGTTTAATATTATTTCTTAAATATCTTAATTATACTTATACCACGTACATAGCCCTAAAACTACACTCTCTCATCTTATTTTCTTACAAAAGTGAGGTTGATAAAGTTACTAACATGTGTTAAGCATGTTATAAAATTATGTTAGATGTAATTTGATTAATTTTCTAGCTTTGATTGGACCAATAAGATTTATGTACTTTAAGTTATTTACTTTTGTTTGGAATTATGAGATTGAATTATTGTAACTTTGTGATGAGACTTTAACTTACTTGTCAAATTGGTGTATTTTAAGTTATTGATTATATTGCAATTTTATTATTATTTCAACAAAATTAAAGTTAAATACAAATTCAAAATTAACATTAAATTTTTATTTTTAATATTTCAATGACATTAAATATAAAATTAAAATTATTTGTAATATAATTTTTTTAATTTCTTAAAAAATTTATAAATATCCATGGATATCTGTGGATATTCAAGAAATTCATGGATACTCGCTTAATGGATAATCGCACGGATATGGGGTGGGTATGGGGCCAATTTTCATTCAACAAGGCGGGAGCGGGTTTACTATTACCCGCCCCCATGAGACCCCATTGCCATCCCTAATAAAGATCTTTATTGGTATGCAAAATAATTGACAATAAACGTTTTACTAACATTGAATACAATAACTAATGTGAAAATACTAGTAAATAATATTTTGTAACCATTTTTATTTTCCACCAAAAATAATATTAAATATTATTAAAAGTCTTTTTTATTGTAGTGAAAGATTCTTTTAACTTCTTATTCAATTTATATTTTATTTATTATAATTATTTATAAATTAAATATTAATATTTTAAAATAAATTTTCAATAAATAAAAATATGTTTGTATTACAATATAAATTATTTAACATAAATCTAATATATATATATATATATATA